TTAAAGTTCATGAATTACTATAATATTCCTTTAATCTAATCGTCTAAACTAATTTTATGTTCAAAATATAAAAAAAACTTCGCTAAGTGCCCGTTACTTTAGACTTTCGATAGCGAAAGATATACGACTGAGTTTGAAAATATTTAACTTCTACATGGTTACTGTTTTGATTTTCAAAAAAAAATATTTCTATTATTAAAATGGTAAGTTAATGCATTGTAGAAAGTGGTATTTAAAGTTTAAAACAACAAGAAAATCATATTTAATACTTATGTTATACATATAGATACAAAGGTATAAAATTGCGGGAATTATCGGTAAAAATTCGACAGTGGGATATAAAAACAGGATTTAAAAAAGTCATAAAATGAAAAGTTTTTTGGGACCAAATGTTGAGTACATATATTGCTGGGTGACCTATAATGCGGATTTCAGAAAAATCGAAATAGGCTAATCGAAAAGCGTGCACATACGGGAAACCAATTTGCATATATTTTCACCAATATTTTCTTTTAAAAAATGAGTTTGAAAAGGCTGAAAAACACTGAGTTAGAATATCCTTACACTGCCGGCCTCTGTAATTATCTACTTATTGCATTTGAATATGTATAGAGTACATAGAGTATGCCAAATGCGTTATGGATATAANGAAAATGAGAAGTTTTTTGGAACCAAATGTTCAGTACATGTAGTACTGGGTGACCTCTAACGCGGATTTCAGAAAAATCGAAATAGGCTAATCGAAAAGCGTGCACATACGGGGAACCAATTAGCATATATTTTCACCACTATTTTTTTTTAAAAAATGAGTTTGATAAGGCTGAAAAACACTGAGTTAGAATATCCTTACACTGCCGGTCACTGTAATTATCTACTTATTGCATTTGAATATGCATAGAGTACATAGAGTATGCCAAATGCGTTATGGATATAAATAGTATTACATAACGGTGCCAATTTTTAAAATATACTTGAAAATCTCTTTTTTTTCGAGCGTAGTTCACGGTAAATCGGTCATGAAAGGTACCAACGTCCTGCAGCAATGGAATGGAATAGATTACAACCAACAACCAGAAGAAGGATTGTCGCAGCTGCCATCTGAAGATTATATACAAGAGAACGACATGTAAGTACCTACTCACACACCAAAATTATATTTTCCCTTTATTTATATTATGATCCTCTAACATATTAATATTGTATGCATATGAAAAGTAAATGTTTTTTTGTATGATATGTACGTTTTACACATATTTTCACAATGTGTAATGNTACATTATTAATAAGCAAAAAAATGGTCAGGTGGTACGTAGAAATTTTCAAGTGGTGTAGGTGGTACGCGACTATAAAAAGGTTGAGAACCGCTGCTCTAACATATTAATATTGTATGCATATGAAAAGTAAATGTTTTTTTGTATGATATGTACGTCTTACACATATTTTCACAATGTGAAATGACAAAAAAAAAAAATGATATTTATACAACTTTTTCAGACACATTTATTATTTCATCATCTTGGAAATGTTTCATTAATATCAATTTCAAAATATTGTACTCACGTATTCTTTGTATTTTTGTAAAAATGTGTTTCCATTAATATAATAGTAATTTGTTCATAAAAATATTGAAACAATATATTATATGTATATATTTAATAGTTATTTTTGGAAATTACCGCATTACGGCGATTACCATATAAAACATTGGAGATAATAAAAAAGTATTTGAGAATATTTACTAATATAACTAAGTTAGACAGACTCAAAATATAGCAAATTGATAAGTGAAGCCTTAAATTAAACTAGGGCAGTATCAATGTTAGTCCTAGGGGTAGAAATAGAAGGCAATCCACTGCAAAGTTAATTTTCAAGTATATTTGAGACACCACTACGAATGTAATTGGTAATAAATGTAAATGTAAAATATAATCTAATGTAAAATTTAATATACTTTTTAAATTTTTTTATTTAACCATAAAACCATTTTTTAATTGTCTGTTAATTAAAATAATTGTAATATTAATTAAATTTGGCTACATAAAAGCAAAGTATAACAATTATTTTGATATTATTTTTCAACATNGGTTCGGGATTTATGTTTGGGTGGGGAGTAAACGTTTCCGAAAGGTGGACTCCAAAAAAGACAGCTTTTTCTTTATCAGAGATCACTAATTGGCCATTTGGTCCGTACAGAGGGGTAGATTGTTCCTTGATTTTGAGAATGTCTTTTGTGGTTCTTCATAAGGAGCCGTCTTCAGTGTTAAGTGATTGATATTTTTCTTAGAAAAAGTTTGATTTATGTTTTTGTATCTGTTTTTTTATTAGGTTGGTTAAATTATTTAACAAACGTATGTCAGGAGAAAAATTGTGGCGTTGCCAGCGTGACCGAGCTCTGCGCTTAGTTTATATTAATTTTTGTATGTGATAGGGAAGGGAATTTTCAGTTACTGGATTATCCGCCGGTTTATTTATTTTGAATGACGAGTTATAGATAGCGGTTTGAATTGAAGTTGTGAGGTTTTAGACTGCCTCCTCTATTTGGTCAGTAGTTTTCAGTAAGATTTTCATTTTTCTTGAGTTTTCTATGTTTTCGGAAAATAGGTACCAGTTGACTGGCCCTTTTGCTAGGAAAGGTCGTAGAGGATTTGGATAAGAATAAATCTAATATATATGACTCCTGTTTCGATGTGCTGGCCAGTATGTTGGACCTAGTAGGGAAATGAATGTATATTTTTTGGTTCGTAAAATATTTTGAAACATACGTCCACGAATGTTTTCGACGCGACAACCTCATTGGAGGTGTTTCGCGTTAAAATCACTTCCAATTAGTGAAGTGTTACCGACTGAGTTTAAGAACTAGTCTACTTCCTGGGAGGATATTGCAGGTCTCGGAGGACAATAGACTGAAGAAATAGTTGTAGGAATATGATTTAAAGTGATTTGTATTTTTGTGGCTTGAATGGTGTTTGTCTGGAGATTAGGTAAGGGTTGACATTGTATTTTTGAAGAAATTATAATAGCAAATCCGCCATGAGCAGTACCGTTGGGATGATCAGTTCTGTATATTCTGTATCTAGGAAAGACATTTTTGGAGATTGGGGTACAGTGTGTTTCGGAACTTGAAGTGATGTCGATATGTTTTTCAATAAAAAAGTTTAATAATTCGGGTTCATGTTGTTTAAGCCCATTTGCATTCCAAAAGGAATATGTTGAGAGAATTTATGTTTGTTTGTCTATTTGTCATTTTTTAGAATCAATTGGTTTATGGCAGTTGTGAGAAGTTGAATTAGAGGATTAATTATTGATTTTAGTTCTGTTATAAAGGATGAAATTTGAGATGTCAATTTATTTTTTGGGAATGAGTCGAGTTTATGCTGGTTTTTATTTGGCATTATGTTTTGAGTATGATTATGAGAAAGTTTGGGAATATTTTGATGTCATTGAGATTAAAATTCGGCGGATCTGAGGGTATTTTATCAACCGAAGCTTTTTCCCCATTTACAGAGATAGTTGGGTTCACCAAATTTTTAAACCTGGTTTTTGAGCCGCTATGGAATTTTTGTAGATCTTTGTGAACAGTACATCCGCGGTAATTTGCCGGGTGATTTCTGCCACAGAGAGCGCACGTTGGAGGTTGAACGCTAGTTTTGGTACACAAGGAGGATGGCGGAATGCAGTACAGCGAACACAGCGAGGTAAGTGTGAAACATAGCTTTTTGAATGGCCATATTTTCGACAATTTAAACATTGTATTATTTTACGACGTTTGTGTGGCTCTTCAATCTTAATCTTGGTGTGGAGAATAGATGTTATATGAAATATATCTTTATTTATCTGGGCAGGTTCAAGATCTACAAAGAATATCGGTAGAGCAAGTTTAGTGATTTGATGTCGGACGTTTAATACTTGTCNAATCGGAGTTTTTCGTTTTAATTTTTAAACTATTTGAGGAGGATTTGAATAGGAAATTTTCTGTACCAATTAATTCGAATAAATTTGATCGAAAACGTACAAAATCATTTGTGCCGTTGACTATTATTGGTGGTGGTGATGGAGTTTTGACCTCACCATTGACAGGAATTTAGTCGGATAGTTCGTACTCAAGTGTAATGTCTACTGCATCATCGTCAACAGTAAAGAATGCAAATCTATTTGTAGTTGCGAATAGAGGTTTAATATTATTTTTTTTGTTTTGAGAGATTCTCCAATTGAAATATTACGCTTATTCGTATTTTTATTCCGCTGTAAAACGAAATCATTATCGGAGTTTTCAGACAAGTTTTCGAAGTTTGCATCGTTTGAGTCACCTTGTGTGCAATTAGAAGAAGATGAATTGGTTTTTGTAATATTTTTTTTTGTATTCAGAGTTTTATTCATTTTTCGTAGATTGTGCGCTTATCGCACATGTAATTTCAATAGAAGGCCACAGCCGGCTAATGGCCGGGGAGCGCAAAACTGCGATAGGAGTTAACGATTATATAATTAATTAATTATTATTACCAAACTTTTGCATTTTTGGCCGGAACGGTTGAAGTAAATTTGATGTGTTGAAGGAAGAAATGCCCAAGTCCGTTCCCTATCTTTTTTAATACTAAACACAACAACGTGAGGTGTTCTAGGGCAAAAAAAAAAAAAAAAACTGAGATCATTTAAAACGCGTGCGTTGTGAACTACAGTCAGAAGCGATATGAGTATCGAAGGTTAACTACATACTTAAAAATGAATTGGCACATCGTCAATTTAAAAGGTTTTTAGAAGAATGCAATGCTGAACATGGTGATGTAATATATTTTTCCGAAGTAAGGTGGTTGAACAGAGGTGTGTTTTTGAAACGATTTTTTATTTTACGAACTTAAATATATATTTTTATGTCAGAAAAGGGTAAAAATGTACCAGAATTATCAAATGATAAATCTAAAATCTAGAATCTAAAAATCTAAAGAATCTTAGACAAATCTAAAATCATTTTAAGTGAAATTAAAATTAAAACACAAACATATTAATGAACAGCGCTTGGATCATTTCGTATCTTGTAAAATTGAATCACCCAAATCCACTTTACATTGGGAAACTACAAAAATTAGTTTTTTAAATATAATTAAAAACCTACAAAATGAATTTTCAATACGATTTTCTGATTTTTACATACAAAAGAATAAAATCAAGTTGTTTCAAAACCCTTTTTCTGATGACATTGACAATGTTGAATCTAATGTACAGATGGAAGTCATAGGAATGCAAAACAACAATATTCTTAAAAATGCTTTTAAAGAAGGTAATGAACTAAAGATATTTTATTCGAGATTTTCTGAAATAGATTTTAAAGGCATTAAAGGTTTTCCTAAAAAAATTATTATTACTTTCGGTAGTACTTATATTTGTGAGCAAACATTTTCAATAATTAAATTTCGGAAAAATAAATATTGTTCACGATTAAGCATCGAACACTTGAATGCAGTTTTAAGATTATCAACATTCAATATAAAAGTGGATATAAACGAATTGGCGGAAAAAATTCAACCTTTTAGGTTTTTTAAACCACACAAGATAATATTAAATATATATTTATATACTTTTGCACTCAAGAATTAATTAATAATTACTTTTAAACTTTTAATTTTTTTCTACTAATGTATGTAATTAAAAATTAGTAAATAAGGACAACCGCAATATTAAACTCATAATATGATTGTTGCTATCCGTTGATATATTAGTATTATATGTTAAAATTATATTTTTTAGTATTTTAATTTTATATGCGGCCCTCAATGAAAAACTGAAAAAAATGATGACCCATGTAGGTAAAAAGGTTGCCGACCCCTTATTTAAACCAATAGTGAATGAATTATTTTTAGTAGCAAACGCTAAACAAACTGAGCAATAAAGTTTACTTTCGTACAAATTGTAAGTACAAGTTCTTAATGAATCATTTTTTTTAAAAGAAATTTTCTTATAATCAAATGGAAGAAATTTGACTTGATCTATAGGCTGAATCGGATGAACACTAAAGAAATAACCTAAGTTAGGCAACGGTCTTTTAAATTTTTTAAATCCTTGTTTTTCAAAATCAGTACTAGCTTCAATATGATCAACAAATTAATTATTAAATTAATATTAGTCCATTACACTGTGTTCAACGTGAACGCGGCGAGCGCGGCAAACACGGTGCGGTGAGAGCGACGCAGCGATAAAAGTTATCAAAAATATAAAATTAGATTAGATTGGCCCATCGTACGCGATAAAAGCTGTACGAGCGAACGAATTTATTTGTTTCGTTCGCGTCCGCCACACGGTTTGAAAATCAAATCGTTTAGTTTTTCGCCGCGCGTTAAAGCGACTAGATGTATACGAAGCGGATTTTTATTATAATAATTTTATATTATTTTGTATTATAAAACTACGCATTACGATATACGATGTACAAGTAGGTAAACATGTATTGTAAATTATTAAATTATAATATATTAAACTATATTAATTAATATTATTATAGTATTATATTAGTTATTTTTATATTAGAAAAGGTCTCATTATGTAATTTACTAACGGAAAATTGTCATCTCCTACAAACAAAACGAGCTTGTACTGAATTAAAAGGAGCACATTTGGTGCTATAATCATGTTCTCCGTCTTGTAATTAGCAATGCAACCAAAAGTCCAATTACAGTAGCTAATTTTTTTTGCTTTGATTCATTCTTGTGCAATTTTTTTTAAAGAATCATACCTAAGAATGAATAACAATGAATAACAACTTAACCTTGTTCATGCATGTACGCATGGCGAAATTTCTGAAAAGAATGTTGTCCAGATGGTACTTTAAGGATGTCATTTTTTGATTTTCCAAACGATTTTCGTAATATCTGGGAAAAACCAGAATAAAACATAAGAAAAACGGGAAATTTACGAAAATAATAGTATTATTATTTTTCAATTTTGTTATTTATAATTCAGTTAAAAAAAATCATAAAGATTTGATATTTAGATAGAAAACTTATTACTTTTTCTAGACTTGGTAAAATTTTCAAAAAATGTAATTTATTTTTGAGGTATTTATAGATATTTTAATTTTGAAAGTTTTATACGTAATATTTATTCGGCAGGCACACTATTGTACAATTTTTAGACTTGAACAGAAATGCGTTTGGCGTCTACGTGTCGCCAGCGGTGATTGTTAAGGTATTTTATAATGGATGGCCGGAGCGGTACAGGTACTAATGAATGTACCTTTTATCTTCCATGTTGTAAACAGATAAGTATGTTATTATGTATAATATACGGTTTATGGATATAGAAAAAAACATCGCATTCCTATACCGTCCGTTTTTATTAACAATAATTCGATACTACAGTCAATATCTATTATACTGAACGAATCGAAACTACACGATCCCTGTGGAGCTGGCGTCTCGTCCGATTGATATCTATCCGAAAACGTGCCCAAGAGCAGACGCGGGAGGATTACAATTTACAAATAATATTTATTGGTTANTATTGTCGTCATTCGAGTCGACGGGACACATTATAATAAAAGGTTCTCGGTCGTCCGGCTGACACAAAGACGCAGATTCATAAAATATTTCTGAAAAGTATCTTGGATTAGATACCCGGACTAACCGGTGTAAAAAAAAAGAAAAAAAAAAAAAAAATGTCGTTCTTCAAAATTAAGGTGATACGTTGGCGCAGTCGTTCGTTTTCTTTTTTAGATATTTTAAAGAAAATTTTAAACAACTTTTATACAATCATAATATAAATATTACATCCCTACGACATAATCACTCCATCAGAAAATAAAATAAAATAAAAAAATAATACATAAAAACTTATACTTAACCATACTTTGTTTATTTTGTACTGCACACTGTATATCTAGCCATTATATATCATAGGAACAGTCACGTCCCTCCTCGCGCAATCGAATCATTTCAGTTTTTAATGGGAGAGAATGAATCTTTGATCAGCACATCGACGAAAAAACAATCGTAAATTAATCACATGTTACATTTGCCAGGGTACTTTTTTTTTTTTTAAGGATTGGATTTTAAATTAATTGATACATCAATCGAAACATCAATAATAAAAATTCCTTTAATTTATTCTGTGCCTTCATCATTTTTATTTATTTATTTTATTTATTGAAGTTTTGAAAAATGTGAATATTATTGTGATTTATTTTAATATTTAATCATTAGTCAGTAGTATTACTGAACAATATCAACTTGTGAAAAATAAAATACTTGTTATTTGATGTGCACTGATTAACTATTGAATATTATAATAGATTATAAACTCCAATAATATTCACATTTGCCGAAACTTCAATAAATTGTAGAAAATAAAAGACCATACCAAACAAAAGTTTCAATCATTAAAAATTTATTAAACATGTACTTTAAAAATGGCTACTGTGAATATTTTTTAAAAAATTATAGTTGCATTTTAAATTTTCTATTTTAAGTTTCTTATCTAAAAGAAAAATAAATTTAATTAATATTAACTGTAGCGCGGAAGCATACTAATTATTTAAAAACAAATATTTAAGTATTCAGAATATATGATCAATATTCATTGCAAATGGCAGATCATGGTAGGAAATTCCGTATTGTTTTCTTTGTCATTGTAAACAATTATAATCCCCCCTTCCGGTTTATGTTCGATAAACTCAAATACCATATTCTGCTATTTTCAACTATCGGAAGGGGACGAAAAGATGGTGTCGTATTGTATTGTTACAAACAATACGTAATAATAATAAACAAAAAAAAAAAAAAACCTAACTGTTTTTGTACAAAGTAATTTATTTAATTTTTTTACAAAAAACATTTAATCTCCTTCAAGGTACTCTCCGTTGGAGTTAATGCACTTGACCAATCATTTGTTCCAATTTTCGAGGCACTTTTTAAACTCATCTTTTGTGACGCCTGCCAACGCCTACGTCGTTTTTTCTTTAACTTCATCAATGTCCACGAAACGCCTTTCTTTCGTGTTCCTTTTCATTCTGGGGAATAAAAAGAAGTCGCATGGAGAAAGGTCGGGTGAATAGGGTGGATGGGTCACAGTGGTCATATCTTTTTTGGTCAAAAACCGCCGTACAGAAAGGGCTGTGTGAGCAGGAGCATTGTCGTGATGAAAAAACCAGTCTCCTGACTACCACAAATCAGGTCTTTTTCGCCTCAAACTCTTGCGTAACCTTTTTAACACCTCTAGGTAAAATGCCTGGTTAACTGTCTGGCCAGGCGGAACAAACTCCGAATGGATGACTCCTCTCACATCAAAAAAACAGATGAGCATTGTCTTAATGTTTGACCTCACTAGACGAGCTTTTTTAGGGTGAGGCGATGCTGGAATCTTCCATTGGCTCGATTGTTGCTTGGTTTCAGGATCATATCCATAGCACCATGATTCGTCACCTGTAATGACCTTGGAAAAGAAGTTTGGGTCATTTTGAAATTCTTCTTTCAAAGAANCTGATGACAAGGTATTATTAACTGTCGAGATGTAATAACTTAAATATTTGAAGCTAATAAAAAAAAATAAATAAATAAACAATATATACATATTATATATTATATTTGGACTTTATTTTAGACATTACTAATCTACCACTGAGGTAGTTTAATATTTGCGAATTAATAAATTTTATATGAAATAACTTAAATTAATTTTTAAATGTATCATTAAAATTAACTTGACCCGGATGTACTTAAAACCATTTGTTGAAATTATTATATAATATGAGTAGAGTCGATACTCGATGATTATAATGTATGATCAGTGGCGTGGAGTGCATATAATCGTATAATCAACGTAAGCGTTGCTTATACTTTCAGTTATACAATATTACAGGTATAATTTTAAATAAACAATTTAGCCATGATCAAGTTCAAATAATATTAAATTAAATTTTATTTTAATTAAATTTTGGAATAGTATAAGGAGATGATATATAAGTAACTTTCAAATATGATTTAAATCGTTTTTGATAATATTAATTTTAAAAATGGTAAGCGGCCCGCTTGAAGTAGGTAGTAAAAATATATGGAGGTATAATAAGTAGGTATACAATTTGTTTTTCCCCCTTTTACCTAAACAAGGAAAAATCAAATGCATTTTGGGTGCACCTAGAGACCCAAGATTGCTCGCTCGGACTATTTTAATCGAAAATACTCTAATTCTCCTCGAATTGTTGTGAAAACTTTTCTACCAGAAATCTTGCTTCGATATATCAAGCATAGCTAATTTTCTAAAAGAAAATTTATCTCCGTGGTAATATAAGAAGGTTATTTATTTTTACTTTTTCTAGACATGGTAAAATTTCCAACACCTTTAAGCTATTGTGGAGTTATAGACATTTTATTTTTCAAATACTATACGAAATTTGTATTCGTTAGGTACTGTATATTAGAAATATTAGACCAAACAGAAATTCGTGAACATTTATCAAGAGATTCATTAAATATTGATTAAAATAAATTTCGGTGTTAAATTTTTTGATTTCCGTCAAACGAGGGATAGTAGTGGATCATCATTTGTGTGACACACGGTCAGGGCAATACCATTACGCGGTCGGCACACTCGCGCGTCGGTCGGCATACTCACTTGGCAGTCGGCACATGGCGATTGTCGCGGCACATGTTCACGACGGTCGGCACACGTTCGTGGTGATGTACAGGCGCGCGATCAGCACCCGCACGCGGATACGCGGCCAGGATGCACAGCAACGTGCAGCGGTTTAACAATGCACCACTACTCGCCCTCGATCTTTTATCTTGTATCTTTAACCTTTCAAAGAGATGAAAGCCCCAGGAGGGCTTTGTAATTTTTTCTATGGTTTCCAAATAGTTTGAATTCATTGGCTGAACAAGTCTTAACAATTCTGCGGTACTTGCATTCAATCTATTGTTAATTTTGGCTTGCAAGTACGTATCACGTTGTCTGTTCAAATCCATTTTGAAACTGAAATCAAAAACATAGAACAGAAATAGTTAGTAATTAATAATTAAATTGAAACAAAAAATTTATGTGACAAATAATAATTGTATATGAAAATAATTAAATGGTGAACAGAAAAATCTGTTCATCAGTGAATTTTTCGCAGTGAAAGTGATAAACTATATGTATAGTGGTATAGAAGATGAAAATAAAATCATATTTGTTATCAACATTACAAATAACGTAAGTACTTATTTAAATCATTGATTATTATAGTGGTCGTGACTTGTCACGTGAAATAATTTTTCAAAAACAGCTTGTTGAGAAAATAATAAAGCCAATTTATTCGTACATAGCATTGGGTACATTAAAAATGTTGCGTAATTTATAATATTATAATTTTGTAAATAATAAAATAATATTGTATATGAGTATACAATATAATATGAATGAAATAATAAGTTCAAATCCGCTTTGTCAAACCGCCATAGTTTTACCAAGCATAAGTCCTTTACTTAAATATCTAACAAATAGAATTTAACATGATGACTATGTAAATATTATATTAAACTAAAATAACTAACATAGAACTAAGTTAAAATAACAGTTTTACTACAATTCACTCGTCTGTTATTTTTTGCCTTATCAACAAGATATCATTTTCTGTATATTCAAGTGGTGCATCTCGTGTGAGAGCCTCTGCAGTTGCACAAACATACACCCCACAATCTGTTGTATTATTCTTACTTTGTATGGGCGATTGGCCATATCTTAAAGTAAATTCTTTAATATCTCATCTAATACCATACTATAAAAAACATTGAATATCTAAACATAGTGAAATTATAGTTAACTCATGTTCTGGGTATGTCTGGCTGTTAAAACTATCAAAAAAAAATGATCTCTTTTCTGAATTTATTAAATAGAAACTCCAATGGTTTCCATTCAGATTAATAGGGAATAATAACTTTTTATATAAAAAAAAACAGATTCATTTCTATGACTTAGTTTAAACAAATTTAAACGTATTCTAGTATTGTGACATTGATATAAAAAGGTATCAAATACTTTTGTAATATACTCACTCTATAATGACGTACGGCGGTAAAAAAAAAAATACGGTAAATAATCGCTGGGAAGATCACTGTTCTGGGAAAACAGTGCATACCTATGTACATGGCTAAATAATCCTATGATACTAAATGTTGAATAAGTGGAAGTAAATAATATTGATTTAAAAATGTTATGGATGTATTTGCTAGACATACAAATCACCTGTATCATTTTAATAATCCTCTGAACATAATTTATTTGTTTTTCTTAGTATTTTGCTCATACAAGTTATGTATATCAATTATAATTAATAATGCGAATATTATATGCTTAACTTTATTTTTTTTTTATGTTCTGCGAGAAGAACGTTATAGCGCAGTCCGGCAGTTATTGATACGTTGACAGAATACTCTGGCAGCCCCGGTTTATCGAACGGTTTTCTCGCACGGGCGCTGCCGGTGGAGAAGTGAAATTCAGGAATTGATAGGTTTTACTACATTATGAGGCTCCTAAGTTCAAATACCATATTTTATGGTTTAAATTTTATCAATGTTCGATAAATCAAACATAGTTAAATAATTTTAAACTAGGTAACATGTATTATTTATCATAAAATTATCATGTATGTACAAATCGGTGATTTTTTTTTTTTTTTTTTGTTTACGGCCTTTTAGACCACACATCCAAACATAATTGCCTCCATTCTTCACGATTTTGTGTTAGTATATGCCAATCTTCCTCCGGGTAGAAAACTGTTGCATTCAGAATAAGATACCAGGTTTTTAAATATTTTTGAATTTTTGCGAGATCTTTACCAAAAACCATCTAATTTTATTATTTGTTACAATTTGAAATTAAATAGTGTATAAATGTGTTATATGTTTTTTATTCATGTCATACGAAATAAATAAAT